GGAGTCGGAAGATTTAGAAACTGAGGAGTCGGAGTCAGAGCATTTATCTACCGACTCCACAGCCCTGCCTTCCTGTTCAAACATGACTGTGCACCAGTGCACAAAGCAAGGTCCATAATGACATGGATGAGCCAGTCTGGTGTGGAGGAACTTGACTGGCTTGCACAAAGCCCTGAACTCAACCTGATAGAATGATTTTGGGATGAATTAGAGCGGAAACTGCGAGCCAGGCCTTCTAATCCAACATCAGTGCTAAGCCTCACAAATGCTCTCCTAGAAGAATGGTCAAAAATTCCCCATAAACACACCTAGTGGACAGCCTTCCCAGAAGAGTTGAAGTTGTTATAGTTGAAAGGGTAGGCCAACTTCATATTAAAGTCTATGTATTAAGAATGGGATGTCATTCAAATTCATGTGCGTGTAAAGGCAGGTGTCCCAGTACTTTTGGCAATATAGTATATGCACATAAAATGCAGACAAGTGAAGAGAATGGGAAAAAAACACTGATACACAATGTAAAAGTAAACAATGGTGGAATGCTTACAATAGACAAAGATGGGAGCAGCAGAGCACACAAGTGAAATGCAAGGGTAAATAATGAATATATATCAGAGATAAATAATGATCAAGTAACCGTGCACAAGAGTATGGAAAAAAACTACATCCCTTACCGAACCCACAAGCACCTGAAGTACCATTTCCCCTAAACCAGCACTGGTTACCAGGACTGTTGTCGCACAACCTGTGAGAAGAGAGAAATCTCAAAGGAAAACCAGTGCTTCCTTATAAAGACCAACACAATGGCTCCTACACTTAAGGTGACAAAACACAGGGCAACATTCTGAGTAGTGTTGCCAACCAATGCTCATAAGATATTTACAAATGAGAGGTCATTCAGCCCATCGAGCTCATTTGGGGAGAACTTAATTAATAGCTCAGAGATGTTAAAATCTTATCTAGTTCTGATTTAAAGGAACCCAAAGTTTTAGCTTGCACAACACTAACAGGAGAACTATTCCATACTCAACTACATGCGATGCAAAGAAGTGCTTTATGAAGTCCAGTTTAAAATGTTCTCCTACTAATGTACATCTATGGCCATGAGTTCTTGTATTTCAACTAATATTGAAGTGACTGATTGAACAGCATCCAAATGTGTTAGAATCTTATATACCCGGATCAGTGCTGCTCAGGCATTGATATTGGGCAACAGATTTCTATTTGAAAAACTATGATCAGCAGTGGGCAACTTTTCGCAATCATCCACATCCAGATTAGTTGCCTTTTGTGTCACCTGGTTGGCAATTGCCTGGCAACATTGCTCCAAAACTTGTCCTATGTATCATCACCTCGAGGAACCTACAGAGCTGATAAAGAGAGAAACAGATCAAGATATATACCTTGATAGTCAAGGATGTCCTCTGTGAAGGCCAGCATGCAGGGGAAGATGCTGCTGAGGAACAGACCTAGCAGGCATGTTCCCACAAACAAGAAGACACTGTTGGTGTAGAAAATGAGGAGGAGTAACACAGTGATGATCACACCAGCCTGGTAAACAGAGAAGACAAGGAAATATATCAACTCAGTGCTTCCTCTCATCAATGCCTTGTCCCTTTTGTTATAAATTTTTCTTTGGAAAGTTATCGTTAATGCAATTTTGCAAACTAATAAATGCAACACCACATCTTAAATTTATAATTATAAATGTTGTTGGCTTTTCAGAAACTAGGACCAGAAGGAGCTTTTCTTTTGTGATTTGAAGATCACTTTTTACAAGTGTTCAGCAAACAAATATAAATCAAGTATATTAACACAAGTGACAAAATGGGGGAAAATGAAGTTAAGAGATTTAATGCTGTTTTCATATTCGGGGTGCTGGGTCCCATTTTATGCAGCACAGGGAACAGCCCTGGGGTACACCGTAGCAGGAATGCCAGCTGCAACACACACACAATCATACATACACACACCCGATGAGCAGTTTAGAGAGAAAGTGAGCCTAACTACATATTTTGGGTTTATGGAAATGGATTTGGAGTATTTGTGAAAAAACAGCATGACAGGAAAGCTCAAACATACATGCACACACAAGAGAGGTGGGATTTGAACTAATATATACACATACACATATATAGATATATACATACATATATACATATACATACACATATACACACATACTCACCTAAAGGATTATTAGTAACACCATACTAAT